TGGTCAACAAGCTGATTTTGAGCCTCACAGGCTTGTGGTGGGATGTAAACACCGACCACAATGAATGAAGAGAATTCCCTCTGTAAATAAAAAGGTTTGTAGTTCATAAAGAAAGACTCCAGGCGAGGGCTACGTCACTTTCCTCAGAGTGTGACAGCACACTGGCCTTTGCTGATTTAGAAGCAGATTCCACCACTTCTTGTTTTTCCTGAGAGCTCCACGCTTTAGTCCACTGGGGGGGAAAACCCTGAAGTCTGGCATCCGAAGAGGAGTTTTTTACAAGTTCACTCATTTTATATGCCAGTGATCGGATGTTCACCAGGTGTATAGATGGGAGTGAGGCGTGCTGACATAGTTTGATGAGTCATGATCTATGAAAACCAGGGGAAAAAATACAGACATGACTGTCCAATGTTTAAGAGTTCATCTCTGCAAAAGTGACAGGAGGATAGCAGCAAAAACACAGAGTAAACTCACAGAAATCAGCTGAGGAGGTGGAGCACATGAGGCTGATGAGGTTGGTGGTTCAATCCCTCAGTCTGCATTGCCAAATATCGTTGTGCATTGCCAAGTTGCTCTCTGAAGCATCCATCGGAGTATGAATGTGTGTGAATGTTGGTTAGAGAAAACGGTGTAGAAATAAGAAGCATATATCCCTGTACCCTTCAGGATTTATCCCGATCCTTCTATCAGTACTCATCATCATTAAACACAAGTGAGGCCGTTCAACAGGCAGGCATACATGCCCATGCATGTCGTTCCCTCCACCAGTGAAAGAGGATGTGTTACCCTATGGGGTCATTAACTGTTCCTTTCCTTTGCCATACTTCTTGTTTGCGGTCATTTTATCATGGTGGAGTGATGTGGTAGATGCTAAATAGACTGATTCTTATGCAGCACGTATCTATTCTCTCAGAGCACTCAAAGCACTTTATCAGCAATATGATATGAACTGGATCGTGTCTATTGAACAAAAGGATGTCATATTGTTTGATAGAAATGAAAGTTATCAAATATCAAAGTGAACAAATGATGTGGCAGGATCGTTTAACTCAAAACGATGCTCTATAGTTTGTATGGACCCCCGATGGTTGTATTCATGCCGGACAACAAAGGGGCGTACTCTTAACGAGACAGCAGGTCCTGGATCTCCTCCCAGATTTGGACCAGCACATCACTTCAATAGAATTTAAAAACTGGCATATAGTTTGAAGTCTGAACTTTCAACATAAGTTGAATTTGAGACTCATCGCGGCTGCAGCTTGTCGCTATGTCATCTTAAATTGGTCATGTGATTTGGAGGCACCGGCCTGAGAGATAAGAACACGCACCTTTGTTGCGTTTCCAGAGTGTAACAATCAACCGCCCGTGGTGTTGATTCACAATGTGCTCTGGCACCATCATAGGCATCAGTTGCTACTGACAACAAGAAATAAAACTGGTCTGCTCTATGGGCGAAAACATTTTATAGTAGTGTGGGGGGGGACGACGACACTATGCAATATATTCAGTACTGGAATTTATATTCAATATTAATTGTAGCTAGGCTCAAAATGTTAATGCTAGCTTGTTAGCATTAACAATGTACAAAACTAGTGCCAACTAGTTTTGTACATTGTCATATACAAAACTAGTTGGCACTAGGGGGGTGGCAAGAGATTATTTTAGGGTGGCACATGCAGCCCCTGGATCCACTGCTTAAAGAATGGTACAACAATCAGAAAATCCAGCTTCTGCTCTCATCAGTTCTCAGATATTTACAGACTTGTTTAAAAAAAAAGAGGGGATCCAATTGAGTTTCATTTATACAGCAGTAAAGCATGACAGCAGTCATCGATATGGTGCTGTGATTAACAATGTAATGTAGGATGATGATACTGTGAGGAAAAAATGGCCCTGTTTCAACTTTTTTGTTGCCACCAAATTCAAAAGAAGTTCATATTTTTGTAACATTTTCTCATTTTAAACAATGTTTTCTGCTTTTTAATGTGAGTAAAATATTGTTTTTTTTATGATTTCAAAAATCATTGCCTTCTGTTTTTGTTTACATTTTTTTTAACTGGGTTTGTCGAGGTGCAATTCAAGTCAGTTTCAATGTTGTTTCCTTAGCAGTCATATTACATCTTTTGGATTTATGTTGTGGTTTCTCGAATTATCAAAGTAACTATCAAATATAACCTTAACAAAAAATGTTACTTCATGGTTTATGTGTCTTGTGACGTCAAATCCTGCACATAAAATATCTGGTGTGGCTTGTTTTGTGGGAATATCTGAGTTATGAGGAACATTACTGTGAAAGTGGCTCATGGCAGACTGCCGTAACCTTAAACCAAAGCAGCAATATTACGTAGCCCATGTTTCCAAGAGTAAATTTAAATCGTTTTGCTTCCTCATCTCACTTCCTCTCTGTCCTGCTTTCCTCTAGGATAATGTCATGCTGGAGAAGGCCTGCATGGCAGTAGAGGAAGCAGCTAAGGGTGGAGGTGTCTACCCCGAGGTTCTGTTTGAGGTGGCTCACCAGTGGTACTGGTTGTATGAGCAGTCAGTAGGTGGAGGATCGAGCCAACAACGGGAAACATCCGGCCGATGTGGGGCAAACGGCGGTTCGGGCAGGAGGCCCCCAGAGTCCAACTGTGGTGTGGTTCTTGACAGTGGAGCCAACATGGAGTCTCCAGGCGTAGCAACAGTCACAGCTTCCGTCACTGCGGCCGCTGTCGTGCCAGTTATCTCTGTAGGGTCCACCATTTACCAATCCCACGCTATGCCTGGCCAGGCTATGGCTCACCCCCACACCCCGGGCCTCCACCCATACACCACTATCCAGGCCCATCTCCCCACCGTCTGCACGCCCCAATACCTAGGGCACCCTCTGCAGCATGTCCCCCGGCCCACCGTCTTCCCTGTGTCTGGGGCTGCATATCCACAGGTCAGAGTTCATTTTGGATCATTTTAGATAGTATGGACTCAACTATGTTTTTCATTGTCTTTTATATTCTTCTCTAAAAATATTTAATTGCAAGCGGTTAAATTCAAAGGGAACACCCCATAAAGCAAGCTGAAAGACATTTACACTTGAACGGAGAAACAAAAACCAGGATGAGAACAAATCGACACACTGAAGAAATACAGCACATACAGCAGATAGACAGACACACACATACATGCTTTTTTCCTGGTACTGTTCCAGAAATATCAAATATGGTTTGTTGCTTCAAGTTTTTGACCCTATATATTTAATGTAAGGCAAATTAAATTACCTGACAATGACAAACAAACGCGCACACACACAAAGAAAAAAGAAGCACAGCACGAATGATCTCATAGCCAATAACTTTTTGGATTACGCGTTATTAGTTTTTTCTTTTATTGCTTACTTTGTTAAGTTGTTTGGCTCCTTGGTAGCAAAACTTAAAGAGATGAGGGCTACTTCAATACTTTTGCACATTGCTTTACATGCGAGATCTTCAAACTTGCCTAACAGTTTCATCATTAGAGATACTGACGGCTTTTATAGCAACTGGAAAAGCTTGTACAGCTCCTCCTAATGTCAGACAAAGAGACGCTTCTTATATCCAGTGCTGTTTATGAATAAGTGCGTATCACAAATGTTTTCACAACTATTAGTAGTAGTATTGGTTTTTTTCATATGTGCATCTCGTTAATTCCTAGTTTTTATTGTCTTGTACTTGTAACTGTGCATGTTTGCTTAACTGCTTCAGGGAATGCACCCAGCATTCATTGGTGCCCAGTATCCATTCTCAGTGGCCACTGGCCCCCAGCCATCAATGGCAGCCACGGCTGTCACCTTCCCTGGTGTTCCTGTACCGTCCATGACTCAAATTGCTGTCCACCCCTACCACACCGAGGCTGGTCTGCCACTCAGCACCACTGTAGCAGGTCGGGACTACTTTGTGTTTAAGATCGGCAGTTGCTAATTCTTCTGAATTAAACCTTTTTTTTTGCTGGTAATTGTTACATTGTTACATGGACGAGTTTGCATACAGTTGTGGTCAGAAGTTTACTCATCAGAAGCATGAATGTCAAGGTTAATTAACAGGGGGAACCAAGGTTAATCATTTCTATGAACTGCTCTTTTTTAGCTTGTCCGTGTGGACAGTTACAAATTCAGTCAGAGGGCCTTTTTCTTGGTTCCCCCTGTCTTAGTCCATGGCAGTGTCTTCTTCTAGACCTGAATAACGTGTTTGAACTGATTATCTTAGAATCTGCAGTTGTTTAGAAATAGCTCCAAAAGACTTTCCTTGTTTAAATCCTTATTCTCCTTCTTAGTTTAAGTTCTTTGGACTGTTCAGACTGATCCTTTTTATGCTCCAAAAAGAAAGTACCCGTTGTAGTGAACTGCGATCGCAGAACCTTCAGCACCACGTATTAAACAACTTGACTATATGTATATTTTTGACCATGTGTGAATTGGAGAAAACCTAAAATAAACCTTTGGGGGTTTTAAAGCCGCTGAAGGTACATTCATGCCCTTGATTAGTGAATGTAAACTTTTCACAACAATTGTATGTTGTCATTGCTAACCAATGTCCTGTGTCTGTTAAAATGTTGTAGTTGGTGGTGTTCACCCTGGCCCCACCATCCAGGCCATCCAGGGAGCATCTCTGCCCTCTCTGTCCTCTCAGCCTGGCTCCTTGGTCAGCAGTCCTTTCCCAGCAGAAGATGAGCAGCACAGCCAGCCCATTAGCCAACAAGGCCTGCACTACTTGCATTCTGCTTATAGAGTTGGTGAGTAGTTTATGTTCTCTGGTTATATGTTAGTCTAAGTAGTCTGCATTAATAACCAATATGTATTCCTTGTTGTCTGTAAAGGCATGTTGGCATTAGAGATGTTGGGCAGAAGGGCTCACAATGACCATCCCAACAACTTCTCCAGGAGCCCTCCTTATACTGAGGACGTCAAATGGTTGCTGGGACTTGCTGCCAGGCTAGGTGAGACTTTACCAAATACACTGCACTGACCTGGACACATATTTGCATTCTGTTTGAAATCGAGGAAGTAAGATAATAAAAGAAATTGTTGCTACAGAAGCCAATTTTGAAGAAAAAAATACAAAAAAGTAAAGCCTTCAATTATATAGTAATGTTCTAGGTCTTAAGCCATCCATTATTTCTTTGCATTTTGCTGGGAAATGGCAAATAGATGCAACAATGTATTGAAACATTTGGAAAAATCAATGGAAATAAAGTCTATGAGAACAGAGATTGTAAAATTATGACCATCGTTATTTTTCAACATAGCCTGAACTCTCTGTGGCAGATGGATGGGAATGATGATCCCATAAGGGATAAGGAAATAAAGAATAGAAAGAGTTCAGTTTACATTTAATAAGCAACCAACTTGAATAAAAGTGCCACAGGTGCATAATGGGGGCCTTATACTGTAAGAGTGCAAAGATGTTACATATGCAATAATGGGGGGAAAACAAAAGTAAAAATGAAGTAAGACTGACACTGTGCCAGAGAGGAGTGCAAACTGTGTTACTAAACTATATGAAAAAGAAGAAAGGGTAAAACCGATAACTATGTGTGGACTCTGCCACAGAAGAACAGTTAGTGTGCAGTTTTATAGAGAGTGGCAGGAAGTGTGAATCGGACTGAGGGAGAAGGAGCTCTGCTGCCTCGACATGTGGAGTGGACTTTGGTGTGATGGATTCTCCGTGATGGCGAGCAGTTAGCTCAGTGACCTCCTGTCCCTCACCGACTGGAACGCCTGCAGATTCTGACCAATGATGCTTTCAGCTCTGCGGATTAGTTTGTTCATCCTGCCGGTATCTCTGGCACTGATGCTGTAACCATTCATATGCCTGACGACCCAACCATGACGACAAATAAACAGGCTTCACTGCAATCCACAGCGTCCTCTTCCTGACGTAGCAAAAGGATCAAATTAAATCATGAAGCGTCACATGTCATTCAGTTTCAGACAGTTAGTCCTGTTTCCTTTTTAGCTGTTTTAATTGATGCTGGCTTAGCTATAAGCTTTCCTCTTTAGACTGCTTTAAGAGCATTTCAAGAGATAACGGGATTAACCGCTCCATGGTCATTTTCAGTTAAATTGTAATCTGTCTCGTTTTTTTTAATCTCTTCCACAGTTGATTTATTATTTGAAATTTTATAGATGATCTGTGTGTTGGCTGAAGTTTAATGCAAATCTGATTAAGACAGAGGTAGGAGTCAGGCAGCAATCCCTGGATCACTCCTACCTCCATCTTAATCACTGTTACTCCTTCCTGTCTACATGGCTCAAGGCAGACTTTTCTCTCACTCTTTCCGTCCTGCCAGGAGTCAACTACGTGTACCAGTTCTGTGTTGGAGCAGCAAAAGGCGTCCTCAGTCCGTTTGTCCTGCAGGAGTTAATCATGGAGGCCTTGCAAAGGCTGAACCCCGCCCACATCCATGCCCATCTTCGAACACCTGCTTTCCAACAGCTTGTCCAGCGCTGCCAGCAAGCCTATCTGCAGGTACATCATATTCACCGCAACACAGCGCTCCCTCGTTTATCGCGGGTGTTACGTTCTAAAAATAACCCGCGATAAGTGAAATCTGCGAAGTAGCCAACTTTATTTTTTACAATTAATATAGATGTTTTAAGGCTGTAACATCGTCACTACACACTTTATACACTTTTCTTACACAGGCATGAACATTTTCACACTTTTCTCTCTTGTTTAAACTCTCAAAGTTCAAACCTTCGTAGAAAAATAAGTCCAGTATTATAGGATCAAACCAGACACCCCCAGCTGCCGCTGACGGTGCAAAATGTTTCATCGACATTGTTGCGTTTGTTGGGGAGAAAACTTACAAACATACAGCACTTCAGACTCACACTGCTAGCGAAGATTTGTGTAAATTTGACAAGCTGAACGCATTCTGTACTGTACAGGTGACACGGTCTACAGCCAATCAGGACGCAGAACACAATGCGCTGTTAAAAAAAACAAACACGATATAGCGAGGGACCACTGCATTCATCATGGGGTTGATGACAGGTTGGGCTGCAGGACTGATTCCCACAAGTGTCTCATATTTATAAGTAATTAAAATCTTTTACAGCCAAAAATGTAATTCAGTCAAATAAAGTAAAACAAAGTTTTTCAGTAAGGACAGTAAAAAGCACGATAGAGCTGTTGTAAAAAGCCAATATTTGTCTACATGTGTTCACAGGCCCAAGTGACTGTCGTGGAGATTTTAATGAACAAAGTCTGCAGACTCAGTTACTATAATCAACACTGTTTATTATCACGCACACGAGAGAGAGTACAAGAGCACGATGCTGTCATGCAGTCTCTGAGACGGGAGTGGAGCTCCCACTCCTTTACACGTTCACAAAAAGGGAGGAAGTAACAAACTGATCATAGCACCTCACGCGGCTCGCTGTGAAACCTAACAAACACTCCACTACAACGAGTGCGCTGTTTCATGCCCTTGGTGTTATCAGCGCCTGCAAAAGAGAGTTGTTTTCTTCAGCTGGTGAGGATGACATGAGTTGAGCTACTTCTAGACTGTTGAGTGGAAGTTTCCATTACGATGCCACAACTGAGCGTACGCTTAAGCACTGCAGCACTTTAAATTTTCTATTACATGACCAATTGGGAATCTGTTGTGATAACCTGAATCTGATAATCCTCTGGCTCGATTGCCAATTTTAGTTTTCTTTTTACATATTTTCTGTATTTTTTTTCCGGCCACTTCATAGTGACTCACATCCTCCCAGCAGCTAATTGTCAGATGTTGTGGAGGCTGCACCGAGCAATTATGTAGATTTACAGCTCCAGTTCCACAAGTTTGTGATGCTGTGTAAAATATCAGTTCAAACAGAACGCAATGACTTGTTAGTCTCATAAAGACATAATTTATTAACAGTAGAGCATCAAAAACATATCAATCTTTAAACTGAGAAAATCTTCATGTCATCAAATTTAAAATGAACTGGGCAACTAAAAGCTGAAAACAGCTATATGAACATTTTGAAACTAATTGAGGTTGAATGGCAACAGGTCAGTAACATGTCTCAGCTTAAACATTTGAGATGTTCTTTTTGTTCGATTGTCAATAATATTTGAGTTTATAAGATTAGAAAATCATTTTTGTTTTTTTGGACTTAGGTTGTAAATCATTTAAGCACATCTGTAAGTTGGTTGAATGTGACCTAGCTTTATAGAAACACTGTTGTAGTCCGGCATGTGTTATGTGTGAGTAGCTCCACTTGAACAGGAAGGTTCAGGCTACATTGTCACCTCCTTTTCTCTCTGCAGCATATTCACCACCGGCTCATCCACCTGACACCTGCTGACTACGATGACTTTGTCAACATGATCCGCAGCGCACGAGGTGCTTTCTGTCTGACTCCTGTGGGTATGATGCAGTTTAACGATGTGCTGCAGAACCTGAAAAGGGGCAAACAGACCAAGGAACTATGGCAGCGTATATCCCTGGAGATGGCAACCTTCTCTCCGTGAGCAGCACACTCGGGGAGACTAAATCTGCTCAGCGTCAGCCTGGGCCAAGAAGTCCCATCCAGCCTCCAGCATAGCTACTGCCACTGCACTGAGCTGACCACACTTACGTGTGATTTTGTTAGGGCCATCGCTCCCTGCTCCGAGGACTCAGTGAAGCGCACATAGGCAGTGCAATCGACTCCCATTCCCCAATTCACAGACTTACTTTTGTTTTTTGTGTTTGTCCACCAGAGCGTTGTGAAGAAGCCTGGTCACTTACCTGCTCTTCCTGGCTGATCTTTTATCATTGTTTATCGTTATGTAAATGTGGAATTCCAGTGTACTCCTTCCTTTCTTCATTTCTCCTCAACTTAAGACTGACAGGGATCTCTCCCCCTCATCCTCACTTCATTTTCACTGTTTTGTATTCTGTTTTTAGTTTTGTTTTAAAGGAAACCACTGCGTGAGTTATTTTTATGCTGCAACATTCCTGTGTAGTGGTAGATGCTTCACTCACCAGAGTCTTGTCACCATGGATATGAATCATTACAGTGTGGGACAAAACAATGATTTGTGAGAAGAAAAAAAAAGTTTAATATGAAGCATTTTATTGTCCCTATTGGTGAGGATTTTTCAGTATTTTGTTTAATCTTTTTTTGATACTTTGTAATAGGCTATGACACGTAAGCAAATAGGAATGGGACGAGAGCGAGGGGATGCTGAAGGTGCTTTTTCTGTTGTGTGGGATACATTTGTACATTTTAGCCTGCCTGAGAAGTGACATGAACAGCTCCAGACCAAAACCAGAGGCCACCTCACCACTGCTTAGGCAAGCAATGTCTGCAAGGCCTTCTCGAGCTACACTGTCCAACAGTCAAAACACCTTATCAGTCCCATTTGGGCTAAGTTGTTTGTTTGTTTTCCAATATGGAATCCCCAGATTTCCAGCAGCTGTCAGAACATTTAATAGATCTTTTATATAAATATAAAAATGCTTTAAAGCAAACTAGATTTGCTTAATCTAATTTACAATGCTGTCTAAACAGACTCCTGACTAAAACGTAATAAAAAGAATTTAGAATAGCATGACCATAAATATTAAAATCACACATCCAGCCCTTCTTCACCGCATCTAAAGCACTGACTAGTTTAAATGCACAGAATACAACAGTGTGGATGGAGATGGCAGACCTATTGGAAGCAGCATTGTCCATTTGACTGACCCACATCCTTTGTCGTCCAAAGTTTTCCATATTGTAAAAGCCAAACATACCGTGTAAACACTCCTTTATAAGCCTTTCGTTTGTCCAGTGATGGAGTGCATTTGCCTTGTTCTGATGCACCAAACAGAACTAAAACCACTGTTTGGATGATTGAAGTGTAAAAGAAAAACCTTCTGGCCACACTCAGAAAAACCCAAATAAGCCACACAAAACTGAAATGTCTGCTTTATTATTCCTGTGCCTGTTTTTGAAGGCTAGGAATTTGGTTCAGCAAATGTACATTTTTAGTGGACAAGTAACAGACATCGCTGTCTCACCTTCCAACCACATTTGTTTTCTCTGCAGATTACACTGACATCTATTACAGTGTAATCAGTACCAGTCACCATATCAGCTTAGCGTTTTAGGTTGTCCGAGGTCCTGAATTATATGCTGCTCATGCTTGGTATACACTGTCACACATGTACAGTGTAGCTAATCATCTAAAACCCAAATGTTCTGAGACTATTACTTTGGCACCACGTTCTCTTAATCAGACATGGCTTTGGTTTTGCTCTGGAAAGTGCTATCTTCTTTGTTTTCAGTTTTCTGGTCCACTTAAGCCCCAACACTCTTCAAGACAGTTACCAGACACATATGACACAGTGTGTTTGAGTGGCCCTCTTCTTCGATGTGGTTAGCTCATAGCCCATGGTGCTGTTACTTCAAGACATGTTGACACAGTCCAGGCAGCTGCTGTGGTTCTGAAACTGGCTCATTGGTTCTGGACCTCACAGGTGAAGGTGACGTAGTAGAAAATGTACTGTGATATTTTTGTATTTCTCAAAAGTGTAGTTCGATTGAAAAGTTGTATATGTGCTGATTGCAAAAGGTTCTAATTGAGAGTGCAAAGACAAAAAAATAAAAGCAATAGTAAAAGTGTAGAGTTTACTTTAATAAAGATCATTGAAAACACTAAATTGCTTTGACTGATTTGTGGGTTTGAGTAGGGATTTATTTGTTTTATCCAACTTTTATCCAAGGCTAAAATGGCAAAACCAATGTGTTTCTGTGCAATATCTCACCCATGGCCACAAGAGTTAGCAGTTATCAACTGATAAATTAGTAAGACTCAGATTGTCCAATCCTTTTCCTGACAATACCCACTGTCATATATACTATACAGCAGTCCCTCGTTTACGTTACGTTCTAAAAATAACCCGCGATAGGTGAAATCAGCAACTTTATTTATCTAAAATTATTATTATAGATGTTTTAGGGCTGTAAAACCCCTCACTACACACTTTATACACTTCTCTCAGACAGAAATGAACATTTTCAATTTTCTCTCTTGTTGGGGAGAAAACTTACAAACATACAGTACAGCACTTCAGAGTCACACTGCTAGTAAAGATTTGTGTAAATTTGACAAGCTGAACGCATTCTGTACTGTACAGGAGCCGCAGCACGAGATTGACTGGCAATGGTCTACAGCCAATCAGGACCCAGAACACAAAGCGTTGTTTTAAAAAATAAAAATAAAAAAATTGCACAAAAAAATTCTGCGAAACAGCGAGGCCACGAAAGGTGAACCGCGATACAGTGAGGGACCACTGTTTTGCCAAAATTCCCACAGAAATCCAAATCATCAAATTCAAGTGTTCCAATTGCTTCCATGACTACAGGTGTGTAAAATCAAACACCTAGGTATGCAGACTGCTTTATTTGTGAGAGAATGGCTCACTCTCAGGAGATCAGTGAATGCCACCTGTGGAATAAGTTCAGTCGTGAAATTTCCGAGAAGCTTCTTTAGTTCATCATTTCTCTTCTCTGATGAGAGGTGAAACATCTTCAAGCAACTTAAAGAAGTCCAGACACTTTTCTTTCCAAGCTCCTTGGACTACGATGACCTGAATGACTGAGAACACAGATATCTTGCTACTAAATATTCCGCAGTCAACTGTTGGTAGGTGGTAGTATTATAGCAAAGTGATAGCGATTAAGAATAACATCAACCATGCTACAAAGTGGTAGGCTACGTAAAATCACAGAGCGAGTTCAGTAGACTGTGAGGCACATGGTGGACCAAGGTTGCCAACGTTCTGCAGAGTCAGTAGCTAGAAACCTCCAAATTTCATGTGGCCTTCAGATTAGCCCAATAACAGTGCATGGAGTGGTTCACGGAATGGGTTTCCACGACCGAGCAGCTGCATCCAAGTAAAGCTGCCACGGGACTGTAAAGACCTCACAAATGCACTTTGAAAGAGTGGTCTAAAATTCCTATAAACACAGTCCTAACCCTTGTGGAAACCCTTCCCAGAAGAGTTGAAGCTGTTCCAGCTGCAAAGCTAATGAAGCAATCCATTTTGTCCATTTTGTTTACCAATCAAGATATTAGAAGCAGTATATATACAGTATATATATATAACTGGGTGATGTCCAGTGTAGTTCTTTTCCCATGTCCCAAATAATTAATATAGTTTCAAAGTTACAGTCTTAGAACAGTTATAACTTAATTAGAGCTCCCCTCCGCGAATCGTTACCTTATCGTGGTGGAGGGCTTTGTGTGTCCCAGGGATACCAGGGGCTATGTTGTATGGGGGCTTTTGCCCCCTGGTAGGGTCTCCCATGGCAAATTGGTCCTGGATGAGGGACCAGACAAAGAGCGATTCAGAAGAACCCTATGAAAAGACCATCAAGGGAACAGTTCACCCTGCCCGGGATAGGGTTACCGGGGGGCGCGCCCTGGAGTCAGGCCCAGGGAGGGTGCCCGAGCGCGAGTGTCTGGTGGCCGAGCATTAGTCCATGGGGCCTGGCCAGGCACAGCCCGAAAAAGGGACATGGGCCCATCTTCCTGCAGGCCTACCGCCCGCAGGAGGCATCGTAGGGGTCAGGTGCAATGTCGGGCGGCGGCCATGCGTTGAGGTCCTGGCGGACCGATTCCCGGCTACCAAGACTGGCAATTGGGACATGGAATATCACATCTCTGGTGGGGAAGGAGCCTGAGCTAGTGCGTGAGGTTGAGAGGTACCGGCTAGATATAGTCGGGCTCACCTCAACGCATGGCCTGGGCTCTGGAACCAGTCTCCTGGAGAGGGGCTGGACTCTGTCTCAGTCTGGAGTTGCCCCTGGAGAGAGGCGTCGGGCTCGGGTGGGTATCTTGATATCCCCTTGGCTTGCTGCAGGTATGTTGGGGTTTCTCCCAGTGGATGGGAGGGTTTGTTCCCTTCACCTTCGGGTTAGGGAATGGGTCCTGACTGTCATCTGTGCTTATGCACCAAGTGGCAGTTCAGCGTACCCAGCCTTCTTGGAGTCCCTGGGTGGGGCACTGGAGGGTGCTCCCCCTGGGGATTCTGTTGTCCTACTGGGAGACTTCAATACTCATGTTGGCAACGACAGTGAGACCTGGAAGGGCGTAATTGGGAGGAACGGCCTCCCGGATCTGAACCCGAGCGGTGTTTTGTTATTGGACTTCTGTGCAAATCACAGTTTGGCCATAACGAACACCATGTTTGAACATAAGAGTGTCCATAAGTGCACGTGGCACCAGGACACTCTAGGCCACAGGTCGATGATTGATTTTGTAATTGTGTCACCAGACCTGAGGCAATATGTTTTGTACACTCGGGTAAAGAGAGGGGCTGAGCTGTCAACTGATCACCACCTGGTGGTGA